ATCACTAGTCTACACCCTATGATTATATACACGTCATACCCTGTGATTGTATACTGCATAACTCACAGCAAGAAAATTCTGCGTTGCATTGTTTCTGCAGACGGAGTATTGCGATTGAAAAATCCATTAAATGTCTCATTGAACTAAGTGAGCTGGTAATAGGATCAGACTATCAAATGTACATGGTCCTAACATTATGTGGTATATACTTGTGTTGTTGTGTAATGTATGACCTACTTGTGTGGTGATGGATTGGTCAGTCTATTTGTAATGTTTGTACACATCTCATTAAATGGTAAAAACCCCTTCCTCCCCCTCTCGCTATATCTCAATCGCTGCTTGTGAGTATATTTGGATACTTATAAGCCCTGCCAACACTAGCCGTCTTCCCAGCTTGCTCAGTGACTATTTATGATGATATTCATCATCTTCGTTACACATACTTAGTATTATGCTAATAACAAAATCATAGCTCTATGATGATAGGTGCCAATCCCTATAATGTACTAAGTGAGATACGATCTTACTTGTGGTAATATTTGAGAGCTGTCTCACTTTGCCTGCAGTCGTGTGGAGAGCCGGTAGGGGTGATTGTTCTAGAGAGATGTCGCGTTGCGAGGATTCATCACGACACACGACCTTACTCCTTCGTCCTCGGTCAGTCCCCTCTCCCCTCCTTCTCTCTGCGTCTCTCTTAACTTCCCTCCCTCTTTATCCTTTTTCTCTCTCTCTGGCAGCATTTGAGAATGATGACTCCAGGACATACGTCCTCAGTGCCTTCTCACAGCCTGAGCTAGACTCCTGGATACTTGCCATCCGCATGTCAAGGTATGGAATGGGGACACTCCTTCAATAAGGAGACCCACAAATAGAGTTTCTCCGAAATCGGCTTTTATCTCACTTTTCATGGGAAATGAAGACACTTCACTAATAAGGGCACTTTCCTTCCTCTTTTGTTAAAAACACACACCATTAACCAATTCTACCCTCTCTCTCCCTGCTACCCTCTATGTGTACGTGCTCACCTGCTAGCTATGAGGGTCTAAAGGCCATGTACTATGAACTCACCAACAAGATTAACACCCTCACTGGAAAGGTACACCCCTATCATGCCGAGGAAGTCAATTCTCTCCCTCTCCATTCTCCCTGAAGTACTCACAAAAAACAAAGCCACCAATGGCTACATAATAGAAGGCCTTGATATGTATATTCAAAGCTAGATATCTTAGCTACTGTGTTCCTCTGTGTACTATATCTTCAGGTAGTGATGCAGCTACTAGTATCAACAGCATGGCCTCTCTGTGAGGACAACTACAGATCTTGGTGAGTGAGCTTCGACATCAATTTCTCTTTCTTCTATTACAGAGTAACATTTCAATAGGAGAGAGCTGGCCATTTCCAGTTACTGTGAGCAGCTGAGTCTCATGCAGAGACTGAGACATGAAGTGGTGCTACTCCACGGCAAGGTATTGTGTCACTAAGGTGGTTTATTTCACTCGGATGTATACTAGTTTAGCTGGAGAATTGAGAGGCTGAGATTGAGACACTAAAACAACAGTTGGAGGAAACAAAGAGAGAAAAATCTGTCGTAGAATTAGAGTTTTCTAACTATCGCAAACGCACCCAGGTGACGCCATTGTGCAGCATTCAGGGTCCTCATCTATGCAATTAGCGGCAAAGTTTTTATTTTTCACAGAAGCTGATGTGTGATGCTGCAGTTGACAAAACAGAGCAATGGCTGGATTCATTATCATCAAACTGAAATGAAATTAGTTATATACACAAATACTAATCCGCCATTGGCCCATTGTGCAGCATTCAGGGTCCTCATCTATGCAATTAGCGGCAAAATTTTGTTTTCACAGAAGCTGATGTGCGAGGCTGCAGTTGACAAGACGGAGCAGTGGCTGGAATCATTATCATCAAACTGATTATCATAATGTCCTATACTTCCTATACTTATAGTACTCACTATGCTAGCTTCATCTCTGGTCAATGGTTCTTTGCCTTGAAATCAAAGTACACCGCTATGTTAGCAGAGGACTAGCAATATAGCTGGTATATAGAGTCACTTGGTGTGTCTGCCTCGCAAAGATAACATTCTCATTGTTTGGTCAAATAAAGCATGTGTACACAAACTTAGCTACAATGCAAATATAAACAAAAAAGAAAACTTTATAAGTGGAATATGTATAATTTTATAGGTTGAGAAGTGAAAGGTTAAGACATCACAGTCTCATATGCATCATCAGTTTCTCCTCTCACTATATTGTAAGCCTCGTTGCTGGTGGTCTTGAGTGACTCGGGAGGTCCTCTGCAGATGAACACAATGAAAAGTTGAGACAACAGAAATTGTGCAAACTACCTTTTTAGTCGTGCAGCAAGAGTGGCAGTGTATTCTTCAGCTCTTTGGAGTTTCTTCATGAAAAAGACTATCACCATAGCCTGCACTGCTATAGCAGTCACAATTACCACTCCCAACACACCACCATGAAGGAAATAGCTCTGGGAGTGGACCTCAACCAGAGACCAGAGGAGACTCATGTAGATATAATTATAGTACATCATGGTACATTGTGTCGATCTCTAAATGCGTTGCACATGCGCAAGTACACACTCTGCTGGTGTGTTACCATGCACATATTACGAGATGAAACGATGCCCACGAAGGTAAACGTAAACTGGTAAAAAGTACAAACAAAATTCTTTCTGTTGAGGTGTACAAACTGGTATATATTGACATTCATAATGTAGCAAAAACAATGTTCAAAGGAGGGCTCTGTGCACAAGCCATGTCCACTGTCACACAGGTTCATAGTCTCCAGTAGCAGTAGTGGTGGGTCGTTGAGAGGAGGTGGTGGGAGGAAGGTTTTGTGGTACTTCATAATCATCTTCAGCTGTCCTTCCAGTCCCTCTCACTACATTGTAGGCATCATTACTGGTGGTCTGGAGCTGGTCTGGATCTCTGGAGTGAGGCCATCAGTGGTATAGATATCATCTCACAGTGTTTCATATGGGGAGACTTACGCATATGTTGGCTCTGAGAGCTTGGAGAGCTCCACTGATTGATTAGTAGCTCCAACCTTAGTTCTGTATCAAATACAATGACATAATTATTATGTCATACTAATGTAAGAGTTTATGATCTTGCCTTGTTTTTGCAGAGTAATTTCCACTGCGACTTCTCAGCACTAGAATCACTACCACTATGACTGTCAGTGAAGTAGCGATTATAAGAACCACAACCACAGCCACTACTCCACCGACAATGGCTGAAGTGTTGTCACATTCACAGGTAGTACTCTCTGCCTGGTTGGCATCAATCACTGGATATGAAAAAACGTAATTGAATTACCACCTGTGACATGACAGTACTCCCACAGTTTTCTCCACTGGTGGCAATGATAGTGAATTTTTTAAATGAAACTCACTTCCTCCCTCAGTAGAGCGAGTAAAGGTGGTGGAAGAGCTCCCAGCAGGGTTGAAGACTGTGACAGTGATGTCATAGCTAGTTCCACTCCTCAGCTTGTCGATAGTGTAGCTGTTCTGGTCTGCAGGGAGTGGTCCACTAGTCCCTCCTTCAGCATTGCTGACTCGTCTTCTTCTTCTCGTCTGCTCTGTTAGCTCCCAGCTCAACTCAGAGCCAGTTACATCAGGAGGAAGGCTCCAGGAGATAGTGATTGCATCTGCTGTGGCCATAACGGCATTGGTGTCGGCATCGGTGTCCACCACTGGCTGGGCTGGAGTCGACACTGCAGAATTGACCACAGGTCAAAAGTCACACACTGTACTTCCTTCCTATGACTCACCTAGTCTAACTTGTTTCATGATGGGGGAACTTGCCAGTTGGTTTGGAGACGTAGCTACAATGGATATGGTGTAGGTCTCTCCAATAGTGAGATCAGTAAGTTTCAAACGTGTAGAATCAGCACCGAGCTCTACCCTATCATGAATGCCTCCACCATCATAGTCAATTGTATAGCCAGTGGCATCACTGGATGGACCCCAAGACACTAGGATACTAGTGGGACCATCCTGGACTGCTGTCACAGCAGTGGGAGGTGATGTTCCTGGAGAACTTGCCTGATAAAATCAGCTTATACACATAATAATATACCTTCTAATGAGATAGTAGCCGACTTAGAGAAAGCAATATTAGACACAGTACATATGTAATCTCCTGCTGTGGTCACATTCAAGGTGTGGCTATAGTTTGCAGTCACTGGGTCATTCAACACAGTCTGGGTTCCTTGGGTGACAGTGGTGGAGTCTCTGGTCCAAGTGACAGTGGTAGCAGGTCCACCAGTGGAGATACAGGTGAGGGTGAACTGAGGACTGGCTCCACTGGTGATGGAGTGTGGAGGAAGTGTAGATAGCATGATTCGACCTGAAAAGTAACCGAGTATTGTGATTGCACGTATAAAGTAGCATGTATATACCTCTTCCACTGGTGTACAGTCCTACATAAAGTGAATGAGGTGTGGATTCTGCATCATCAACTAAACAACGATATATTCCTTTAGCTGCAGGATCAGTAGCAGTGTTCCTCTTCAGTCTCACTACCATAGGACCCCTGTTTCTTACGAATCCTGGAACCCCCTCATTATCTTTGTCACCCACTCTGGTCTTGTCTGGAGCAAACCAGTTTCCTCCAGAATTAGTACTACCAGTTGGTGGAGGAAGGTCAGTGATACACAGTAGAGCAGTGTCATCAGGGGAGCCAATGTCACTGATGTACAAAAGGCCGTTATTAGGGATGACAGTTCCATTCAGACTGAGGAAGACATCTGTGGATGGTGTGAGTGAAGAGTACAACAGAAATTCAGAACACACATGTGGAATGTAGAATAGAATTCGTGCACAGTATCGCAAACTATTAATGATGATATGTGCACACATGGTACTGGCGTCTCTTCAAAGTGCCGGACAATGACTAGCATAATTATAGATTTTCACCTTCTAACACACAATATCACGTAATCCTCACTTCATACGCAATCTTAAACTATAACCACAGGAGTCTACTCACCATCAGAAGTCTGGATCGTGGGAGGATCACTGTAGACTCCAGTACCACCACTGGTGACTGCTGCCACTTGCACAATGTAGACTGTCTCTTTAGTCAGTCCAAACACTGTGGTCATTCCTCCACTGGAGTCTCCTGACACCATCTGAACATTCCTGGCTTCCTCGCTGCTCCCCTCCTCCCCATACGTCACCCAGTAGCTTGTTATCTCTCCATTCTGATGTATACACTCCACTGGTCCCCACTGGACTGTGATACTAGTGGAACTCTCCACCCTCACCACCACATCAGTAGGAGGGGTGGATGGAGCTGTGAGCATGGGAGAGAATATCAGGAGAGGGAACCTTGTGAATTTACCAGCAGTTAGTGTGGTGGCTGTGGTGCTGCCTTCTTGAGTCCCTCTATTCCCAGTCAGAGTGACAGTGACAGTGATAGAATACTCAGTTCCCTCCTCTAGACCATTCAGAGTGTATGATGTCCCACTAGCAGTGATACCACTTCTGGAGTCAGGGAAACAGTCAGTGTTGGTGTTGGAGTAGGAGATTGTGTAGGAGGTAGCAGTCAAACTGTCCTTCAGTGTCCATGATATAGCGAGGGAGGTTAGAGGGATGAGGGAGTGGCTGATACAGTGAGTCCACTGTGAAGAATTCCAGAAAGTGTTCAGGATGACTGTGACTAACAACAGACTGAAACTTCAATTAAGAGGGGTCTTGTAGCTAAAGTCAGTTGTGCTACTGTATGACATGTGTAGCTTGATAGTCGTCTGTTTGCTCGGCTTTGTACACATTCGTGCACTGCCCACCTTAAACATTCTTTTACATTACACATCAACTTTTGCACACAGTTAAAAGTTTGGGTAAAAACTAGTATAACAGACACAAACATGTGTGCACACAGTGTACCTGCTACAACGGTGCTAGCTGAGTCAGAAGATGGCTTGTTATTAGCCACGGTACAAGTGTATAGTCCTTCAGTAGTCACAGTCAGAGTGTGGGTGTACTGTGCAGTCTCTGGGTCATTCAACACAGTCTGGGTTCCTTGGGTGACAGTGGTGGAGTCTCTGGTCCAAGCGACAGTGGTAGCAGGTCCACCAGTGGAGATACAGGTGAGGGTCAGCTGGTCGGAGTCAAATGTCAATCCTCCAGATATTGAAACATCTCCTGAACAAAGTGCAGCAGAATCTCCATTAGCACAGTCACACATCAATTTCATGGTACTGGCAAGTATAGTATACTCTTGGCTAGTGAGCTCTATAAAGAGTAAGTGACTCTTCTCATACCTCCATTGGCAGGATACAGTCCCACATAGACTGTGTCTCTCACTGAGATGTCAGTGGCATGATGGACAGCATTAGTTGGAATATCACAGCGATAGATACCAGTTGGTGAGTTAGCATTAGTGCTACGACGTAAGTCAACTCTCTGATCTACACGAGTCCTAAAGGTATCAACATTAGATGCAGCGAAAGGCAATTGAGTTCCATTAGGGAAATACCAGTCTCCACGATGAGAACCCTGAGCACTACTACAACATGTGGCCAGGTCAGTGATACACTGAACACCGTCACTACCACTGGAATCATCTCCCACTAGACCGAGGTCCACATAGGAATTGTTGGCCAGAGTCTGGCCCATGAAGAAGAGACGGGGAAAGCTCTGAGAGTGGACCTCCATCAGAGACCAGAGGAGACTCAACATCACTAGGTCCAAGCAAGAATACATGTCTTCGCAGCTTCGCTTTTTGTTTTCATGCGCATGCGTAATAATAAGCGCGCGTATGTAGTGGGCGCTAACGGAGAGAAGGAGATGAGGTTCAACGACAAAGAGCTGGGAGCCTTGGCGAGCGTGTTCTCCCCAGACAAGGAGGGTCTACGAGAAGAGGGTGCGGGGAGAGGACAGGGTGAGCGAACCACGCCGTGTCCACGTAGCAGACGATATCGACGTAATCTACAGGACATACTAGATATTTTATCGACGGATGCTGAGACGTGTGTCGTGTGTATAAACCGTGCTGTAGGCTGTAGCTAGCTGTATATGTATGTAGTTTAGCTACCAGTCGTAGCAACAGTACACCAGCTCCATTCATACATGATTCACTAGTGGAGAATAATAAACCCTCCCTCTCTCTATGTGTGCAGGCTACAAACAGAGGTGGTTCAGGACTGAAGGGAGACCTACTCTTCTATTTCAAGGTGGACGAGTTGGGAGGATGGGAGGTGAGAGAGAAACCCACGTACCCAACCAGCCACTCTTCAATGGTCAACCACAGCTGCTTCGGCTTGATGCTTAGCACTGATGTATATACAAACTGTGTCGGTCTATGGGACCAATACATGTATAGCTGGCTGGTGCTTGGCCTGTGGCTGCATAGTATATACACAGTATAATATACCAGTGAAGTGTTGCATGTCGTGTGCAGTGGATGTACATATTATAGCTATAATGTGCAGGTAGTACATATGTATACATGGGAAATAAGGCTACAATAGCATATGTACATGTTGTGCATTATAGACAAACAGTGTGTGTGTGTGTGTGTGTTGCAATGTGAAAGTTTGGCCACACCTCCAAATCCACTATCTTCACCCTATGATTATATACACTCATACCTGGATGACGTAATACTGCATAATCACGCAAAGAAATTTTTGTGTTGCATTGTTTTCGCAGCGGAGTATTGCAATTGAAAAATCAATTAAAATTCTCATTTGAACTAAGTGAGCTGGTAATAGGATCAGACTATCAAATGTATGGTCATAACTTGTACTTGTGTTGTTGTGTACCTACTTGCTTCGGCTTTTGTATGCTTAGCACTGACTGTATATACAAACTGTGTCGGTCTATGGGACCAATACATGTATAGCTCACCAGTGCTTGGACTGTGGCTGCATAGTACACAGTACAATATACCAGTGAAGTGTTGCATGTCATGTGCAGTAGATGTACATATATTATAGCTAAATATGCAGGGATTTGTAGTTAGTACATTATGTATACATGGGAAATAAGGCTACAATAGCATATGTACGTTGTGTATTATAGACAAACAGTGTGTGTGTGTGTTGCAATGTGAAAGTTTGGCCACACCTCCAATCCACTATCTTCACCCTATGATTATATACACTCATACCCTGGATGATGTAATACTGCATAATCACGCAAAGAAATTTCTGCGTTGCATTGTTTTCGCAGCGGAGTATTGCGATTGAAAAATCAATTAAAATTCTCATTTGAACTAAGTGAGCTGGTAATAGGATCAGACTATCAAATGTACATGGTCATAACATTATGTGGTATATACTTGTGTTGTTGTGTAATGGTATGACCTACTTGTGTTGGTGGATTGGTCAGTCTATTTGTAATGTTTGTACACATCTCATTAAATGGTCAAAACCCTTTCCTCCCCCTCTCGCTATATCTCAATCGCTGCTTGTGAGTAGATTTGGATACTTACAGGCCCTGCAAACACTAGCTGTCTTGACAGCTTGCTCAGTGACTATTTATGAATATATTGTGCATATTCATTACACATACTTAGTATTATGCTAATAACAAAATCATAGCTCCATACATCTATGATGATAGCCTATAAAAATATTCTAAGTGAGATACTATCTTACTTGTGATAATACTAGAGAGCTGTCTCACTTTGCCTGCAGTCGTGTGGAGAGCCGGTGGGGGTGATTGTTTTAGAGAGATGTTGTGTGGAGAGGATTCATCACGACACACGACCTTATTCCTTCGTCCTCGGTCAGTCCCCTCTCCCCTCCCCTCTCTCTCCCTCTCTGCGTCGTCTCTTGCTTTCATCCCTCTTTATTCTTTTGCTCTCTCTCTCTCCCCTCCCTCTCTCTCTCTGGCAGCATTTGAGAATGATGACTCCAGGACATATGTCCTCAGTGCCTTCTCACAGCCTGAGCTAGACTCCTGGATACTTGCCGTCCGCATGTCAAGGTATGGAATGGGGACACTCCTACAATAAGGAGACCCACAAATAGAGTTTCTCCGAAATCGGCTTTTATCTCGCTTTCATGGACTTAACCCCTGAAATGAGGACACTTCACTTCTCTCTCCCTGCTACCCTCTATGTGTACATGCTCACCTGCTAGCTATGAGGGTCTAAAGGCCATGTACTACGAACTCACCAACAAGATTAACACCCTCACTGGAAAGGTACACCCCCTATCATGCCGAGGAAGTCAATTCTCTTCCTCTCCATTCTCCATGAAGTACTCACAAAAAAAGGAGCCACCAATGGCTACATAATAGAAGGCCTTGATATATTGGTATATTCAAGGCTAGATATCTTAGCTACTGTGTTCCTCTGTGTACTATATCTTCAGGTAGTGATGCAGCTACTAGTATCAACAGCATGGACAGCCTCTTTCTCTGTGAGGACAGCTACAGATCTTGGTGAGTTAGCTTCGACATCAATTTCTCTTTCTTCTATTACAGAGTAACATTTCAATAGGAGAGAGCTGGCCATTTCCAGTTACTGTGAGCAGCTGAGTCTAATGCAGAGACTGAGACATGAAGTGGTGCTACTCCACGGCAAGGTATTGTGTCACTAAGGTGGTTTATTTCACTCGGATGTATACTTGTTTAGCTGGAGAATTGAGAGGCTGAGATTGAGACACTAAAACAACAGTTGGAGGAAGCAAAGAGAGAAAAATCTGTCGTAGAATTAGAGTTTTCTAACTATCGCAAACGCACCCAGGTGACGCCATTGTGCAGCATTCAGGGTCCTCATCTATGCAATTAGCGGCAAAGTTTTTATTTTTCACAGAAGCTGATGTGTGATGCTGCAGTTGACAAAACAGAGCAATGGCTGGATTCATTATCATCAAACTGAAATGAAATTAGTTATATACACAAATACTAATCCGCCATTGGCCCATTGTGCAGCATTCAGGGTCCTCATCTATGCAATTAGCGGCAAAATTTTGTTTTCACAGAAGCTGATGTGCGAGGCTGCAGTTGACAAGACGGAGCAGTGGCTGGAATCATTATCATCAAACTGATTATCATAATGTCCTATACTTCCTATACTTATAGTACTCACTATGCTAGCTTCATCTCTGGTCAATGGTTCTTTGCCTTGAAATCAAAGTACACCGCTGTGTTAGCAGAGGACTAGCAATATAGCTGGTAGAGTCACTTCGTTGTCAGGTGTGTCTGCCTCAAAGATAACATTCTCATTGTTTGGTCAAATAAAGCATGTGTACACAAACTTAGCTACAATGCAAATATAAACAAAAAGGATAACTTTATAAGTGGAATATGTAGGTTGTGGAGTGAGGGTGAGAAGTGAAAGGTTAAGACATCACAGTCTCATATGCATCATCAGTTTCTCCTCTCACTACATTGTAGGCCACATTGCTGGTGGTCTTGAGTGACCCAGGAGGTCCTCTGCAGATGAACATATGTCAAAAACAACAATGAGAAGTTGAGACAACAGAAATTGTGCAAACTACACACAGTGTTTGCAGAAACTACCTTTTTAGTTGTGCAGCAAGAGTGGCAGTGTATTCTTCAGCTCTTTGGAGTTTCTTCATGAAGAAGACTATCACCATAACCTGCACTGCTATAGCACTCACAATCACCACTCCCAACACGCCACTAAGAGCAGCTACAGCTTCTGATGATGATCCACTGCTTTCACATGCAGGAACTGTATTGACAAGAATATACCTTTAATATCAAACGAAAAAACTATAACCTGTGAAGGCAATGACAGATTCACTGAAATTTCCCAAGGACATCGTGCGGACAGTAACTGTGACACTGTAAACAGAGAGTGTCTGGAGATCACGTATGGTGTAGCTGGTGGATGTGATGGAGCCGCTGGAATCTCTGCCTCCAGGGCCACTGACAGCTCGCCACACCACCTCTGAACCCACCACTGCGTCTCCAGACACACGCCACGACAGGGAGATGGAGCTGACTCCCATCATTATTACTTCCACTGTCAAATATGGCCCTTCAAAAAAAACAATACTTTACTTGAAGGATAAGTTATGTTCTATTCTTTTCTCTCTCCTCCAGTCAGACCTATTGACTTCTATTATTAGGCAATAAAACGACTAGTTATAATGCTCACCAGGAACTAGAGTGACACTCAACTCCACACTCTCACTGGAGATGTGATCTGATGTGCCTACAATCGATATGTCATACGTCTCCCCTCTTATAAGACCAGTCAGAGTGTAGTTGTTGGTAGATCCACCACCAACATCTACACTACCACTGCTGCCTCCTCCAGTGAAGGAGATCCTGTAGCCAGTAGTGTCTCCCAGTGGATCAGGTGGGATCCAGGTCAGTAGGACACTTGTACCACCACTTTGAACCTCTAATGTCAGGTTAGTAGGAGCTGAGGCAACTAGACAACATTGCACACAAACAATTGAGGACTTAGTTAAGGCATGTGGAGACAACCAACCTCTGACAGTCAAGGTTTCAGAGACCATAGATGGTTTGTTGTTGCTCACAGTACAAGTGTACAGTCCTCCCTGTCTCCCAGCCACAGTCAGAGTGTGGGTGTACTGTGCAGTCACTGGGTCATTCAACACAGTCTGGGTTCCTTGGGTGACAGTGGTGGAGTCTCTGGTCCAAGTGACAGTGGTAGCAGGTCCACCAGTGGAGATACAGGTGAGGGTGAACTGAGGACTAGCTCCATTGAGGCTGGTAAATCTCAAACTACCAGGTATCAAGACGTTACCTATAATATAACAACAATAGAGACATTCCATCAACTATTACTTCATACCTCCACTGGCAGTATACAGTCCCACATAGACTGCGTCTCTCACTGAGATGTCAGTATCATCATGGACATCATTAGTTGGAATATCACAGCGATAGATACCAGTTGGTGAGTTAGTACCATTGTTACGACGTACGTCAACTCTCTGAGTTCCACGAAACTCAAAAGTATCAACATTAACTGCAGCGAAAGGCAGTCTAGTTCCATCAGGGAAATACCAGTCTCCACGATGAGGACCCTCAGTACCACGACAACATGTGCTCAGGTCAGTGATACACTAAACACCTTCACCACCACCAACGTCAGGTCTCCCCACTTGACTGATGTCCACATAGGAATGGTTGCCAGAGTCTGACTCATGAAGGAGAGACGGGGAAAGGTCTGAGAGTGGACCTCCACCAGAGACCAGAGGAGACTCAACAGAGTCACAATTCTCATCATTGATCTGTTACACATCACTCACACCACCAACTGAGCAACTGAGTTATCACAGGCTGATGGATGGCAGAGATAAAACCCGCTCAATGTGGACATTATATGGAAAACAGAAAATTCCTGGCATAAAATTCAACGTAATACTTATGCGTTGGCAGTTTTATAATAACAGGATGTGTGTAAAGTCCAACAGTAGTATATATACAAGTGGAAAAATCATTTCTTCAAAATGAAAGGGGGATATAGGGATGGCTTGAAGCACCAAAAAGGAAGAAACAAGGGGTCATTACACAGCAAAGTTGCACAAAGCTACATGACACCATCCCTATATCTTTGTTGTTATACGGCTCTGCAATAGAGGTTTTCTTGCATGTATACTTAGCTCAGGGGAAACTTTGCTTATAAACAATAAAACAAAGATATAGGGATGGTATCATATAGCTTTGTGCAACTTTGCTGTGTAATGACCCCTTGTTTCTTCCTTTTTGGTGCTTCAAGCCATCCCTATATCCCCCTTTCATTTTGAAGAAATGATTTTTCCACTTGTTTCCACTATTTTTAACAGCTTATGACAACACTGCATTTATATTGTTAAGGTCACTCTGATGTAGCTATGTTGTAGATAGGTTACCATAGACAAATTGTAACTGTTGAAAGTAGTAGCTAATGGGGCTGCTAGTGCCTGAAGCAGGGGCTAGATACCGTATTCACCTCATGTATTGTCTTCAACAAGGATGAACTTAGATTATTGCATGGTTGTGGTTTCATTGGCAGGCTTTGGTAATCAGGCAAACAATGAAGGCCCATTTGACTGAGCGCCCCGCAAGGCTCGCGTAACACCGCGCAGACTCTGGCAAGTTGCTCTTCGTGCAAATCAACAGCCAGTTGGAAATGTGCACACTTACTTACAGAAGGTACTGGAGGCTGAGAGTTCCTCTGCAGGTCTGCCAACTCGCTCGCCTGGTAATACGCTCGCTAGCGCATTGGACAACGCCCATGCCTTGCGCATGCGCGCGGCTCACTGATGCTGAGTAAGCAGCAAATGGCGTTATTCAGGTCGACCATGGAAGAGCTCCATGATCTACCCTAGTGACTAGCAGCAAGAAAGAAACGATCGCTTGATGTCCGTGCACACCTCCGGCGAAATTGAAGACCTTCGGTGAAAAAATCAGTGCTTGAACTGGTACTGGTAAGGAGATAGCGGGTTTAAAGAAGAAGAAGAAGAATATGATGACACAAAAATCGTGAAAACGCGTATGAGCGAATTCTCGCCTGGACGACTGAAGGTGCGTATGAGCTCTTGGGGGACATGTATAGGTAGATATGGGCCCGTAGACTATTGCTAGTATGCTTTGAAGGCCTAGGGAGTGATTCTCACTGAGTTTTTAGTCGTTTTGTACGCGGATCACGTGAGATTTCACCCGTGTCATCCCTATATAGAGAGTCTACCGACTCTCTAATACACATAGTGTAGAGGAAAGTCTGTCATGTATATAGTGGTTGCAGAGGTCCTGCTGGAACCAGTGAGAAGAGAGAGAGAGAGAGAGTTCAGGTCAGTAGCTAATAGCTACACTGAACACTGTCACTATACCACTGCCATCATTCCCATTTCACTGAGGTCCACATAGAAATGGTTGGCCAGATCTGGCCCATGAAGGAAATACAAGGAAAACTCTGAGAGTGGACCTCCACCAGAGACCAGAGGAGACTCATGTAGATATAATATAGTAGTACATCATGGTACATTGTGTCGATCTCTAAATGCGTTGCACATGCGCAAGTACACGCTCTGCTGGTGTGTTACCATGGAGATGTAACGATGCCCACGAAGGTGAACGTAAACTGGTAAAAACTACAAACAAAATTCTTTCTGTTGAGGTGTACAAACTGACATAGTATTGATATTCATGTAGCAAAAACAAACAATGTTCAAAGGAGGGCTCTATGCACAAGTCATGTCCACTGTCACACAGGTTCATAGTCTCCAGTAGCAGCAGTAGTGGTAGGTTGAGAGGAGGTGGTGGGAGGAAGGTTTTGTGGTACTTCATAATCATCTTCAGCTGTCCTTCCAGTCCCTCTCACTACATTGTAGGCCTCATTACTGGTGGTCTGGAGCTGGTCTGGATCTCTGGAGTGAGGCCATCAGTGGTAAAATCATCTCACAGTGTTCCATATCGGGAGACTTACGCATATGTTGGCTCTGAGAGCTTGGAGAGCTCCACTGATTGATTTGTAGCTCCAACTGTAGCTCTGTATCAAATCCAATCACATATTATTATGTCATACTAATGTAAGAGTGTATGGTCGTGCCTTGTTTTTGCAGAATAATTCCCACTGCGACTTCTCAGCACTAGAATCACTACCACTATGACTGTCAGTGAGGTAGCGATTATAAGAACCACAGCCACTACTCCACCGATAATGGCTGAAGTGTTGTCACATTCACAGCTAGTACTCTCTGCCTGGTTGGCATCAATCACTGGAAATTAGAATATCATTACTACCAGAAGTATGACAGCACTCCCACAGTTTTCTCCATTGGTTGTTTATTATCATTGATTGCAGTAACTGTAGAGCTGTGTTTCTGAGTGAAATGTCTCTGAAACTCACCTCCTCCATCAGTAGAGCGAGTGAAGGTGGTGGAAGAGCTCCCAGCAGGGTTGAAGACTGTGACAGTGATGTCATAGCTAGTTCCACTCCTCAGCTTGTCGATAGTGTAGCTGTTCTGGTCTGCAGAGAGTCGTCCACTAGTCCCTCCCTCAGCATTGCGGACTCGTCTTCTTCTTCTCGTCTGCTCTGTTAGCTCCCAGCTCACCTCAAAGCCAGTTACATCAGGAGGAAGGCTCCAGGAGATAGTGATGGTAGTGGATGTGGTATCAATGATGTCCATATCTATGGTTGGTTTCTCTGGAACACTCACTGATGATTGGAGAATGAGTCAGTGACAGAACATTATAATTATTGAGCAGTGTTTAGGTCTAACCTAATGTGATCTCTCGAACTTCAGGAGCACTTGTTGGTCTGTTTGGAACTATCGCTACAATGGATATGGTGTAGGTCTGTCCATTGGTGAGACCAGTCAGAGTGTAGCTGTTGGTAGAGCCACCATCAATATCCACACCACTGCCTCCAGCGAAGGAGATCCTGTAGCCAGTGATACCATCCAGAGGATCAGGAGGAGTCCAGGTCACTGTGATACTAGTGGGACCAGTCTGGACTGCTGTCACATCAGTGGGAGATGGGGGACCTGAAAGTGAGTCAATATCATTACTGAATGACACATTACAGTAGATAGCTACCCTCCAATGTGAAGCTAGCTGAAGCAGAAGATGGCTTGTTATTAGCCACAGTACAAGTGTACACTCCTGCAGTAGTCACAGTCAGAGTGTAGGTGTACTGTGCAGTCACTGGGTCATTCAACACAGTCTGGGCTCCTTGGGTGACAGTGGTGGAGTCTCTGGTCCAAGTGACAGTGGTAGCAGGTCCACCAGTTGAGATACAGGTGAGGGTGAACTGAGGACTGGCTCCATTGAGGTCAGAGTCCACTGCCAGTTCCCCAGGTATTGAAATGTCTCCTGCAATGTAGAATTAATTACACCAGGAACACTCTGTGAACCAATCAATACATACCTCCTCCATTGTATATTCCTACATAAACTGTCCGGTCAGTTTCTGTGTTGTCCATTACCTCACAGTGATATATTCCTTCAGCTGCAGTACCAGTACCAGTGGTCCTCCTCAGTCTCACTACCATAGAGCCTCTGGTTCTGCTGAATCCTGTAACCTCATCAAAAGCTACTCTGGTCCCATCTGGAACAAACCAGTTTCCTCCAGAAATAGGACTACCAGATGGTGGAGGACGGTTAGTGATACACAGTAGAGCAGTGTCATCGGTGGAGCCAATATGACTGATATCCACATAGCTATGATTAGTGAAGATTTCACAATTTAGCCTTAAGAATACGGCTAAAGAAAGGGCAGCATAAGAGAGCAATAAGGATACAGGAAGGACTAACCTGGTGGGGTTTCCACAAAGACAGAGGAACTATACTCTCCAGTACCAGCACTACTTTTAGCTGCCACTTGAATTGAGTAGTTGGTGGAAGAATCGAGATTTGAGATTGTAGTCTTAGATATACTTCCTCCAGTAATGTTTACCATGGTCCCTGTATTTGGACCTCCTACTACCTGATACCTCACTGAGTATCCTGTGATGACTCCATTCTGATGGATACAAGGCACCTCTCCCCACTCGACAGTGATGGTGGAAGAGTTAACCACACAAACATCCAAAGAGGAGGGAGGGGCAGATGGGACTGTAAGTGAGTGAAGATAAAATACAGATTTGGCGAGTAAAAAGTGAGTCCACCTAGTCATCTGTATGGCACGGTTATTCAATATTTTGAAACGAACAACAATTCTGCAAACATCATATAGCTACAGCAATCCGAAGATTGCTTAGTTCGGCAATTTTTTGATATTTGACTAGTAAAATAGTTTAATAACTAACCAGTGGCATTTGTAGCAGCTGTGATGTTGTACTTAACGATCTGACTCCTTAGAGTGGTAGCGACAGTGATGAGGTATGTAGTTCCTTCCTCCAGTTCAGTCAGTCTGTACTCCATACTGTAGGTAGTGATGCTGCCAGTGTCACCGGAGCAGTTAGTGTTAAAGTATGAGACGGTGTATGAGGTAGCAGTCACATCTTCAGCCAGTGTCCAAGAAATGGTTATAGTTGTAGTGGAAACTGAGCCCACCGACAGGAACAACGCATCTGACAGGGAAAAGGAGAATATCAACCTGGCATCTGTTTATGCTGTCAGACCGGATATATTGCACATGCGCAATTAACTTATTCAGATCGGGGAGATCGGGGAAAGCAGGAATTGAACAGCCTGTAAGCATCATAGACCTTGTGTCAGTTGATCTCTGGGGGTACTGTAGACTCCAGTCCCAGCATTGTTGACTGCTGCCACTTCAATAGAGTAAGTAGTGGATGGTGTAAGATTTTCAATGGTTGTCTCAGTCATAGTAGCTCCATCAACAGTAACAATCTGTGTGCTCCCACTCCCCATCACTCCATACTGAACTGAGTATCCTGTGATGGCTCCATTCTGATGGATACATGGTACCTCTCCCCACTGGACAGTGATGGTGGAAGAGGTCACATCAGTTACAGTCACATCAGAGGGAGGGGCAGGTGGAGCTGTGGGAGAGAGGACCATACAATAGACCACTAGCAGTGGTAGATAGTCCCTCACCTGCCTCCCTAGTCATTACAGTCACTGTGCTACTGACTTCACTACTACCAGCTCCATTAGAGGCTGTCACAGTGATGGTGTACCTACTGTCCTCCTCTAGATCAGGTATAGTATGGCTGGTAGCAGTGATAGTGGTACTGCCTGTGTCCCCATCAGAACAGCCTACTGAAGTGTCTCTAGTCCATTCTATAAGGTATTCAGTCACCACTGAGCCACTGGGAACACTCCAGGAGAGGGAGATGGTAGTGGCTGTTGTGGAGTCAAGACTGGTAGTTGGCCGACCAGGAACTGCACAGGATACAGAGAACAACTTAAATCATCGATCGAAGGAACTATTGGACTTACCTAACCCAACAGCCATTACTGTCACATTGTCACCATCCAGATTGCTTGAGATGGCTACAATGGATATGATGTAGGTTTCTCCATTAGTAAGACCAGTCAGAATGTAGCTGTTGGTATCTCCACCACTTACAGTCTCACTACCACTGCTGCCTCCTCCAGTGTAGGAGATCCTGTAGCCAGTGGTATCTCCCAGTGGAGAGGGAGGAGTCCAGGTCACTGTAATACTAGTGGGACCATCCTGGACTGCTGTCACATCAGTGGGAGCCCCAGGTCCTAAGATTTTGATTCACAGCTTAGCATATTGCTAAATAACTCACTGTAATACCTGTTACAGTAATGGTAGCAGAGGCAAAAGATGGCTCGTTATTAGACACCATACATGTGTAATTGCCTGCAGTAGTCACAGTCAGAGTGTGGGTGTACTGTGCAGTCACTGGGTCATTCAACACAGTCTGGGTTCCTTGGGTGACAGTGGTGGAGTCTCTGATCCAAGTGACAGCGGTAGCAGGTCCACCAGTGGAGATACAGGTGAGGGTCAGCTGGCTAGGGTCAAATGTCACTCCTCCAGATATCGAAACAGTTCCTGAACAAAGTGCAGCAGAATCCCCATTAGCACAGTCACACATCAATTTCATGGTACTGGCAAGTACAGTATACTCTTGGCTAGTGAGCTCTATAAAGAGTAAGTTACTCTTCTCATACCTCCACTGGCAGGATACAGTCCCACATAGACTGTGTCTCTCACTGAGTTGTCATCATCATGGATAGCGATAGTTGGAATATCACAGCGATAGATACCAACTGGTGAGTTAGCATTGTTCCTACGACGTAGGTCAACTCTCTGAGCATCACGAGACTCATAGATATCACCACTATTTCCAGAGTATTGCAGTCTAGTTCCATCAGGGAAATACCAGTCTCCACGATGAGATGGACCCTGACCACTACTACAACATGTGCTCAGGTCAGTATCACACTGAACACTGTCACTGCCATCTTCAGGTCTCCCCACTTGACTGATGTCCACATAGGAATGGTTGGCCAGAGTCTGGCTCATGAAGGAGAGACGGGGAAAAGTCTGAGAGTGGACCTCCACCAGAGACCAGAGAATACTCAACATAAGTGGATAGTACATCATGGTACATTGTGTCAATCACTAAATGTGTGTTGCACATGCGCAAGCTACACACTCTGTTGGTGGGTTAGAATGCACATATTAGGAGATGAACCGTGCCCACGATGACGGGTCAAAACTACAAACAACATTTTTCTCTTGAGTTGTACAAACTGACATAGTGCTGAACATTCATACAGCAAAAGCAATGTTCAGGGGAGGGCTCTGTGCACAAGCCATGTCCACAGTCACACTAGTTCATAGTCTCCAGTAGCAGTAGTAGTGGTAGGTTGAGAGGTGGTGGTGGGAGGAAGGTTTTGTGGTACTTCATAATCATCTTCAGCTGTCCTCCCAGTCCCTCTCACTACATTGTAGGCCTCATTACTGGTGGTCTGGAGCTGGTCTGGATCTCTGGAGTGAGGCCATCAGTGGTATAGAAATCATCTCACAGTGTTTCATATGGGGAGACTTACACATATGTTGGCTCTGAGAACTTGGAGAGCTCCACTGATTGATTTGTAGCTCCAACCTTAGCTCTGTATCAAATACAATGACATAATTATTATGTCATACTTATGTAAGAGTGTATGATGTACCTTGTTTTTGCAGAGTAATTTCCACTGCGACTTCTCAGCACTAGAATCACTACCACTATGACCGTCAGTGAAGTAGCGATTATAAGAACCACAGCCACAGCCACTACTCCACCGACAATGGCAGAAGTGTTGTCACGTTCACAGCTAGTACTCTCTGCCTGGTTGGACATCATCATCTGCGAAATGAATGGCATCATTAAAACATAATTGAACAAGTAAATAAAAATCTGCGATATAAAAAAGAGGCTATGTAGGGATGTATAAAAGGAAAGGGAGACAAGATAGGGATGGATACATGAATGCATCGTTTATATGAACGAGATTTGGCGTACGCTGACACACCCCATCACACCATCCTATATTGTTGCCTGTGTGCTACGCTCTATAGGGGCTTATATAAGGTTACTAAAGCAAGCTGTGCGGTCTTTCACGTGTCCTTCGGTTTGTTTAGTAACATTTTACTACCACATTCCCTTTAATTACTCCACTTGGACTCTATAAGGGTGTTGGTTACTCTAGTGGCATGTAAGTTCTGAGTATTGTAAGGTGATGTTTATACTTCACCTAGCACAATATAGGGATGGTGTGATGGGGTTGGGGTGTCAGCGTACTCAATCTGTTCATTAACCATGCTTCATGTATCCATCCCTCTTTGTCCTTTTCTTTTTATACCATCCCTATATGCCTCTTTTTTAAATTCGCAGGATTTTAATTTACTTGTCTCTACTCATTTTATATACTACTACGTATTATCTCCCCTATAAAAATTAATAATAGAGAAAAATGCCTGTTGTCGTGATGGAAATGATATGCGCACCAAGTTTCATCTCCATGCGTGGTACAGTTGGCGAGTTTGAGGAGTGAAGAAGTAATTTTAAAGAAAAGTGCCTGAGGCTATTTGTTGTTGTAGTTGTCATGGAAACGATGTAATACACATGCGCACCAAGTTTCACCTCCATGCGTGCTACAATTAGCAAGTTTGAGGAGTGAAGAGTAATTTTAAAGAAAAGTGCCTGAGGCTATTTGTTGTTGTGGTCGTCATGGAAATGATGTAATGCGCACCAAGTTTCATCTCCATGCATGGTACAGTTAGCGAGTTTGAGGAGTGAAGAAGTGGTTTTAAAGAAAATTGCCTGAGGCTTTTCAAACAATATGCGGTCGTCATGGAAACATGTAATCGTCATGGAAATGATATAATAGGCATACATACCAAGTTTCATCTCGATGCGTGCTACCATTAGAAAGTTTGAGGAGTGAAGAAGTAAATTTAAAGAAAAGTGCCTGAGGCTATTTTTTGTTGTTTACAAACATGTATTGTTGTAATTTTGATGTTGGTGATTGAATACATTATGTATACAAAGTTTCGTTCAAAGTTTCGGTCACATAGCTCCTACCATTTGTGAGTTATACTGACACATGTGATCCCATTATAATGTATTGCCTGCGGCTATTTGTTGTTGTTTACAGTAAACAATGTTGTTTACAAAGAAATAAGTATGACCAGTCTCTTCGGGTGATGGATATGAGATCGCACAAAAGCTTTCAAAATGCCCTTTTTTTAACGCACACCCTCGAGTGTACGGCCGAGAGAGCTAGGACCGATCGGGAGCGGAGAGACAGCTTGCCATAAGCGCTTTAGTTTGGTCAAGCTGGCGGTTTGTGCAGAAGCCATGGTCATTTTTTCGATGTGAGTTCAACAGTTACAAGTACGTCACTTTTTCGCTGCTGGACTCACGGAGTTTTGTAGCTGCAGCTCTGCTCGCTTTCTCTCTCACGCTATACCAGCGCTCTCGAATGCAGCTGTTGCAGTAGAAAGAAAGCTGAAAGTCACATACTGTTCCAGTCTACGGGAGGCTACGCGTCAGGAATCCAGTTTTTAGCTAGTTTTCAGACAGCGTATATACGTAGAGCAAGTTTCTGGCCATTCCAGCCTGAAAACACTCCCTTCTGGTAAAGAACAGCAGCAACACAAGAGTGTGAAAGCCCCTAATTGCATTACAACGCTGCCAATTTCCTACTATCCTATAACTACCATATACCCATTGTGGTGTTATGCAAAAAGTTTACATACAGCTGAAGTATGGGGACAATCATATGGCCTCTTTATGGTATAACTACCCGTAAACTCAGCAGGAAGCGCTCACTACCCTTGTACGTTGGTTGGACTAGCTGGAATTTCTTTGATCTTACTCTCAGTCATCATACAATATATGTTATTTCGTTTTTGAGTTATGGGTGTTGAATCTGAAGAAGAAGGAGAAGAAGAAGATGAACAAAACTCCCTATCATAGCCCCATACATCTATGATGCTAGGTACCATGTCAATCCCTATATACTAAGTACTACCGTACTTAGTGATATCATTACCACCAGAACTATGACAGCACTCCCACAGTTTTCTCCATTGGTGGTAATAATATTCTATTATCATTCATTACAGTGACTGTAGAGCTGTGTTTCTGAGTGAATTGTCTCTGAAACTCACCTCCTCCCTCAGTAGAGCGAGTGAAGGTGGTGGAAGAGTTCCCAGCAGGGTTGAAGACTGTGACAGTGATGTCATAGCTAGTTCCACTCCTCAGCTTGTCGATAGTGTAGCTGTTCCGGTCTGCAGGGAGTCGTCCACTAGTCCCTCCCTCAGCATTGCGAACTCGTCGTCTTCTTCTCGT